AAGTCTTCCAACGTGGTAGCCTGACAGCTATTAATCCAGTGGGTTGCTGTTCGGTGCAGCCGGCAAGCCCACTCCATGTAAGAGTCAGTATCTGTTTTTCTAGAGTCTCTGAACTTTCGCCAGTATGCTTCTGGGGTTTTTGCATACCTGGCTAAGAGGGCTTCTTTCACCTGCTCATTGCTGTTTACTTCATGGTCTGGAATGACCCTGAAGGCATCCACCGCCTTTCCAGACAATGTGCCAATATAGGGACCCATTCCTCCTCCGCTACTTTGTGGAGGGCACATTGTCTTTCAAAATCAGCTAAGTAGCCTTCAATCTCGTCTGTGACTTCGTCAAATGTTTTAAATGCACTGAATGGTACTTTCTGCAGTTCTAGGTTGAAGCTGGAACTGTTCAGTGAAACCACTGTAGTTCATTGTGCCTCCAGTAGGCCTACTTGCAATTCGCCCTGTGCCCATTCGTTGGTTTTCACATCATCAATAATCCTTGTGATGATTTCAGGGGAAGGTTTTGGCCCCAACAGTACCAATCATTCCCTTATTTCCCTCATTGTTTTGCTTTCTTGCATGCGAACAGCCGGGGTCGTCATGACCAAGTGCTCTACGTCCAGCTCCATCAGACGCTAGGCTTTATTGCTGGCAATGCCTCCACGAACCTCCAGTAATTCCTTTAAACTGCTGCGCTTGAGTTGCGTGTACTAGCCTTCCATCCACAGTACTCCAGTGTCAACCTCGGATTATAAGTCCAGGAAAAAGGGACGATCCCACTGCTGCCACCAAATTTGACAGAAGTCGAAGTGTCGAAGTAAAACGGGGTTAAATTTCCGCAGTGGTCGTTAGTTGAGTGGCAGTCTATTTTACACGAAAAAGATGACAAAGTCCCATTCGAATGTGTGTTTGAATCTTCGAATGGGACTTTCGAATGGGACTCCAGCCGCAGTGTCGAAGGGTAGGGGAAGGTACGGGTCAGCGGTGTTGGTTCAAATGTGTGGCTGATTTCCGTTCCAGGGATTTGATGGCACACTCCGCTGACCGCGTTCGACTGCATTAAAATGGCCGCCACCACATGTTCAATTGTCTAATGGCGGACACTTCAACTACTTCGGCACTTCGGCTGTATCCGAAGTGCCATATCAAACGTACCCATTTTTTGCACAACACAGTTAAAGGGCCAGAAACAGTTTTTGTTCTTAGGTGCAGGGCAATGTGGATGATGGCAGGAAAACAAAAGGTAGAGGTTCCCAGGCAACAAGGGATTTGATGGCACACACCGCTGACCGCGTTCGACTGCATTAAAATGGCCGCCACCACATGTTCAATTGTCTAATGGCGGCCACTTCGACTGGTATCACCCCCCATACATGAGCCGAGAGTTAATGCTGGGAGAAGATTGTTTAATGGAAATACAGGCATCAAATTTATACAATCAGTAAACTGCTCCTCTGTGCATGAGAGATAATTTCTGAACATCCCAAAAGTACCCCCAACATACATCGAAACCCCACAAAAGTCTCCGGATAGCTGGGATCTGGGAAAACAAAACATCCAAAAATCACCCAGATCCATTCAATAGTTTTGGATCGCCATTGTGGGGAAGTTTTGGCTGGTCTGCCACGAGGCTGAAGCCCAAAATAGTTTCACAGAAGCCACACAAATTAGATGAAAGTAGATCAGAAGAGAATGCTCCCTGTGTTCGGTAGTATATATTTCCTGAACGCCATTCGTGAAGGTGAAGGGGAATGGGAGCGGGCAGCAGGTCCACGATGACCAGGGTTCACGAGAATGCCTGGCCAAAATGAGTTCCAGGCACTTGTCCCGCTGCTTGCATTCGGGAGATAAAATGGCCCAGTGGAGCATTCAATTAGTTTGTTCTTTTGTGGTTTTCGTACAGAAAGCAACGATTGGCAGAGGCACCCAGTCGGGGTGCCAGGCGGTCGATCACAGTCAATTCATAAGTTCATAAGGTCACTTCATATAGTCACTTCATATAGTAAGGCTATATAGTCAGTCCATATAATCAGTTCATAAAGTCACTTCACATAGTTACTTCATATAGTAAGGCTATATAGTCAGTTCATATAGTCGCTTCATATAGTACGGCTATATAGTCACTTCATATAGTAAGGCTGTGGTGAACAGAACTTTGCCACGTGCTCCTGGAGGAGCCTGCTTGCCAGCCTCCTGCCTCAGGACTATGGGCCCTGCAATATACCTTGCCCAATGCACTTTAAAAGGCTCCATTCATGGGATTTGTGTACTTTTGTACTCCAGAAAGAAAGACAGAACGTTAGCCCTGATTCCCTGGAATTGTTTTGGGCATAGGACCATGTGCACGGTCAGTGAAAATTATGACTTCCATGGAAATCCCAAACCCCTAAACCGATCTGTGTGATTTTTGGATATGTTGGTCCTCCAGATTGGGGCTATCAGGGGATTTGTGGGGTATCCATGTTTTTTGGGGGTACTTTTGGGATGTTGTTAAAATGTATGTTTTACAGTGCTGACACAATTATCTCCCAGCCACAGAGGAGGGATTATCTTGTTTTATGTCGGAGTGTCCTGGACCTGAGAGCCAATGTGATCATGTGTATGTTTTTACTGTAGTCTACTCTTATGTCCAGGAGGGAGTGCCCCTTGCATGGGGACCTGCATATAAGAAGACCTCTCCTCCAAGAGAGTATAGCTGTGTAGCTCTTACAAGAGCTAGTGAGTATAGCAATCCAAAGACTATATAGCCTTACTATATAGTAAGGCTATATAGTCACTTCATATAGTCACTTCATATAGTCACTTCACTTCATATAATCACTTCATATAGTCACTTCATATAGTAAGGCTATGATGAGCATTTTATTGAGACATAAGTAGACAAAAAAGGCTGAATTTCTATTTCCGTACAATCCCAAGAGCAGGGATTATAGCTGGTATAGCCTTTCCCTTCAAGCACGAGACGAGGCTCTGTGTTAAGGGTAAACTGGAACTCGTTTATTGGCAGCCACAACTGGCCTTATATGCAGGTCACCATGCAAGGGCCACTCCCCTCTGGACCTGAGAGTAGACTACAGTAAAAACATACACACAATTACAATGGCTCTCAGGTCCAGGACACTCCTACACAAAACAAGATAATCCCTCCTCTGTGCCTGGGAGATAATTGAGTCAGACACTGTATTAAACTCAATTATCTCCAGGAACAGAAAACATAATTTTTTACAAAACCCCAAATATACCTTTAAACACACAAACCCCCCACAAATGTTACATCCCCTGATAGCCCCGATCTTGGTGACCAACATGGTCCCATGCCCAAAATAGTTAAAGAGAATCAGGGCTTGCGGTTTGTCTAGTTCAGTAGTTTAAAAACTGAACAAACTACCAAACATAGTCAATGTTCTTACCCTGGAGCTTGTCCACCTTGTTTGCGGGAACGTTTCCACCTAACAGTGCCCTTCTAATTTGTGTAGAAGAGAACACAGGTGATCCTGGAAGTCTAGCGGTGTTCGGGAGTTTGTGTCTGAAAACAGTTCCATGAACTCGAGGACCAAACACTGCTGCCTGCATTCGCAGGAACAAAATGGCCGCCATCTCGTGGTCGTTCATGCGAACAGCGGCCACCCAGACGAACACTTAGAACATTGCTTTTTAAAGGGCCCATAGTTTTTGGCAGGAGGATGGCAAGCAGGCCCCTCCCAGCACATGTGGCAGAGGCATTTCTGCCACACCCATTAAACCAGTTCC